CTGGTGAAGACCATGTTGCAACAGCACCGGCAATGGTCATTTCCTGACAAGCCCAGAGGAATGCAGCGCCCCAAAGTAGACCAAATAGATGGTACCAAAAAAAATACTAAAACAAAAAGCATTGAATTGTCAGTCAGTGTACATCAGTAGCCAAGTTTTCACTAAACGGGCTCAATCATAAAGGTGTCTAAATTGTCTGCTTTCACATAAAGTAGTAGTAGTAGTTGTAAACTGCTGCCGCTGCCACCATATGTAAACTGAGAACAGACTTCTCAAGGTAGAGTGAACCAAGTGAGTATTGGTCACCAGATCCGGGAGGAGAATAACACACTGGAGAGGAGCACTTGTAGCCAAGATGTTTATTACTCAACTGCTAGGCCTGGAACTGAGTCTAAATACTCACGAGATGTTCCATACAATGTATCAATATCATTATGCAAATAACTAAACTAAACGTCATAGCCTCAAATCATTACAGTAGTAGTTGCCTTCTCTAGAAACCTGTTTTATGTTTTGATTATATTATTATACATCATGATGTACTTTAAACAAACAATAGTAGTGTTCATGCTACACGAAGTATGGGCTAAGATTTAAGCTAAATTCATATGTTTTCATATCGGATAGACCAAGTTGTGTTCATGCACAGGAACAAACAGTACTTATCACAGTCTAAGGAATGCCCAATGTTAAGAATATACAAAAATATTCAGTTATTTTAACTATGATTACTTAGTACAGTAACTCGGAAGGTATACATGTTACTTTACAATACCAAAGTAAATTCAGAAAATGGAGATTGCAGAATAACACAGAGTAGCACAGAGTCTCATTGTCAGTTCATTTTTTTTCGAGAATAAATGTGCTCGCGTTGATTTTCATGTTGGAAACAACATACCGAAATTAATTGTCATAAATATAAAAGTAAATCTTTCAAATAAATATTAAATACAATGGCGTTTTGGGCACTAAGTGTTCATGCACGTTTTGTTAGCCTGAGCTAAGAATCTGGAACGAGTCTTAAAAACAGATTTACTAGTAATCAGTACTTTGCATTTCTTATCCTGTGCCATGCAAGTTTTCTTAGCTTGAGCTAAGGTATTTGACCTCTTATCCCATGCTAGGGAGCTGTGCACGAACATTACTGATATCTATCCCATGCTAGGGAGCTGTGCACGAACATTACTGATATCTATCCCATGCTAGGGAGCTGTGCACGAACATTACTGATATCTATCCCATGCTAGGGAGCTGTGCACGAACATTACTGATATCTATCCCATGCTAGGGAGCTGTGCACGAACATTACTGATATCTATCCCATGCTAGGGAGCTGTGCACGAACATTACTGATATCTATCCCATGCTAGGGAGCTGTGCACGAACATTACTGATATCTATCCCATGCTAGGGAGTTGTGCACGAATATTACTGATATCTATCCCATGCTAGGGAGCTGTGCACGAACATTACTGATATCTATCCCATGCTAGGGAGCTGTGCACGAACATTACTGATATCTATCCCATGCTAAGGAGCTGTGCACGAATATTACTGATATCTATCCCATGCTAGGGAGCTGTGCACAAACATTACTGATATCTATCCCATGCTAGGGAGCTGTGCACGAACATTACTGATATCTATCCCATGCTAGGGAGCTGTGCACGAACATTACTGATATCTATCCCATGCTAGGGAGCTGTGCACGAATATTACTGATATCTATTCATTTGATATTTATCTGGTGGCCCTGCTTTTTTTGTCTGAAATTACTGTTATTACTGAGGGGGAAAAACATGATTTCCCTCTTTTATCAATTTACCAGGTAAAGTTCTGATTACATTTCACACACATTGACAAATATTGTGGATGTAAAAATGTTGCTGACAGAGTATACAAAACAATGTACAAGGTAACACGTGTGACAAAAGATCCAGTGAACATTTCCTGTTAGACCAATATTTAAAACCTATCAATATTTCAGCAATTTACAACTATGAATATCATAGTACTGATTGTATGCCAAATTTGTAATGATTACTTGAACTTTGGGCAAGATTTTCTTGATAATCTAGTTAGATGAAAGAAGAAAATGGGATGTCTGCATCCCCTTGTGAATAAACTGTTGTCAATCACTGTTATGTAACAACTATAGTAGAATGTTTTATTTTTAAATCAGTATATCAATGTATGACTTTGGTTGCCTCAATGACACATCAGTGAATTACCACAAATAATTGCATCATAGCAAATCTATGCGCATCAGTGATGCATCCTATGGGTTTGAAGGGCACATTGTTACTAACTAATAAAAACATATTGTATAGTAGTATTTTAGTTTTTGACTTACTTTCACAGCTTCATCTTCAACATACTCCACAAAACCTGAATCTTTATGTAATTGTGCTTGTCCAGCGGTGGCAATATACAAATATATAAACAGCCAGTATACACACAGTACAGCCACAAATAGGAATGTCTGTAACACAATACATTTTATGTTTTATATTTTTCTATAATTACTTTGATAATTTTTTGACTAAATGGACTATTTGATACAGATTTTGATCAAAATATGAAAAATATTATGTGGGTTTAATTTGTGAATTAATGTTGAAAAAAGTTTACAAATTTAAATTTGTAATCAGTATTATTTTTTAAGTTTAATTATCAACATAATATCTTGGAATTATAATTTTTATTAGGGACAGATATCAGATATAAATGGCTGCTGAAGTCTCATGTGACTTATTTTTACAACTTAGATAATGTTTGATTCACTTCTATCATTATGTACACTGATCATGGTTACCATGGTAATTGAAACAATAGATGCAATGATGGCAGAAAATGAAACACTGTTTGGGAGGACCAAAATAAGTCATATGACACTTGACAAGATTTTGGTAGCCATTTGTATTTAAGGTCTGTTCCTAATAAGGTTAAATGTTGTTTGATATCACTAAATTATAACATGCATAACTTATGTTAAAAGATTCTACAGCTATATATAACTGCTCAAGAAAAACTACAATGTATAGTCGCATTATATGAATATGAGGGTGCTGTATTTGCCAAAGTCAAAGTTTTGTCTTGTCGCAAAATAAGCGTGCATAATAAATTGTTTCCATGGGAATGAAAATTTATTTGAAAATTAATGCATCAATAGTAAACTTACCCATACTGGTTGTATTAACAAGAATGGCATAGACGCTATCGCTTTACCAGCCTCTTTGAACAAGGTAACTACCAGTGATATCCTCTTCCTCATTACCAATAATATTAATAACAATATCAACTACAACAAAAATAATAAAATTAAAATAAATACTCAAAAACGCAAAATTTTGCTAGAAATAGATCTATCTGTATTTATCACACTTTGTTCACTCTGTGCTCATGATTCTCCAACTATTGCCAGTGAGGGCAGCATATGCAAAATAAAATTGTAATTGAATAAACAATAACCATTCCAGAAAATAATGAAAATCACTTCATCTTTAAGAGAACATATCATGTCAATCAGTGCCTTCCATGCATATACTCACAGTTACTCCAGAAGCTACGCCAGCGTAGATCAACAGTGTCTTGACATTATCTTCATCTTCATCCATTCGTACTGTCAGTGAAAATGGATTACCTAATTAGTATTTTGGTCATGTGACTAGTGACATTTTCGTGACATAGCTAATGATTAATCACATGACATATTAGTCATGTGACTGGCCTGGCAGGCAAAGTTATGTTAAAACGACTTCAGGAAAGGATATAGGAACCCGGACATATCAGTGCTTTAATGAGGTAATTAGATATGTATATTTTAAGAAAATAATATTAACCTTGCATTCATTTGCCAAAAAATGAAAGGAATTTAATGTTGGATCATACAACACCCCCCTCAATACTCACGTTCTGTTGACATGTTATCTAGCTCTGTTTTAGAACTATACCAGAGGTACCATAAATAGGCTGTACCCCCTAGGCTACCAATTATGAACACAAATACAGTGATATAGATTATAACAGCAGCAAAGAATCTCATGATTATGGTGATTACCACTGCAAGTCCTGAAAATATTAAAATTGGAAAATATTAAAGTTTTTATTTTTCATATTTGTCCTATAACAAGCACATCTCCAGTAGAGGTGCTTTAAAGTTAATATCCACCAATCTCACTGTGATTTGGTAGTCATAGTAACACATTTGGTTTGATGTAGGTCCCATGTGGATATACATGTTTGTGTACATGTAATTCAAAAGTTTGTTACAACTGCTAACTATGAAGGATTATGTACGGAATTCTGATTTTGCCACATAAAAAATAAAATTCTTTGTCCGCAAAATGTTTCTTAAATGGAGCATTGTCAGAATGGATTTTTTTTTTGGTAAAATATATTTGATGGCACCCACATGTGTCAAGTTTAATCAATTCATCAGTATAGTGGGCTATGTAGTAACGAGATAGGTAAAAATAAAGTTCAACTCATTTTGGGTGGTGCACACGCTGACCAGAAATTTTTTTTTTAGGTCTCAGTAAATGTAATATTATTTCACACTGTTAGAACTGGTATTCTGTGAACCACTTATATTTCTTGAGAGACAATTTTTAGCAAATCATTGAAAATTGCAACATTTTGTAGCTGTGAAAATTTCTCCGGGGAATATCAGAGACTTTCACAAAATGTTGTCTTTATGAATGTACAAAATGTTTTCTGTTTACTCACCAACTGAGATGGCACACAAGTAAAGAATCTCATGCCATGATTTTTCAATATCACTGAAAATTTTCTAGATGAAATAAAAAAACAATTCTTTATAATTATATGTATTTAGTGACTATATAATATTTATTTAAGAATAATAAAAAAATGACAAAGCAAAGCAATCATAAAATCATCTTACCCTGAGTAAATCAGCATTGAATATCGTACTGAATGTATCCGTAACGCTTTCCAGAAAATTTAGCGGGAAACATCGATTTAAGATAACGGTCCTGAAAAACATCAAATATTATCAGTATAATCACATTAACTGTGAATAATTGAATTCTCAAATCATAAAAAAAAAATGTTACCCTTGGTAGAAGTAAATTTATTGTACAACATACTCTTCCTCAGCAACAACAAAGATGGAGATGGAAGTAACAACATGTAGCCGCTTAATGCGACTGTGAATATGATGTGGTATGAAATTTGAACTGTTGTTTAAAATATTAAACAGTAAAGAGTTCCAGAGTTTGGAAGCAACATTCATTGTATGTTTCACAGAATTCACTTTTGTGGAATATTTTGAAGTACAAATTTGATGAGATTTCAATTAGAAGCAAACTGCTTTTATTGTATGCTGTTTCATTAAATATGCAACTTTCATAATCATGTACAATGATATGTGGTGAAGATATCAGTTCATTCACACCCTTGAAATGTAAAAATAGTGTGAATTCTTCAATTCTCAGATTTTCATGTTTATATCAATGCAGCAGTTTCTGCAATATGTTTATAAAAAGTTTCTTTTTTTACATTTTAAAGGATGGTATTCGATATATGCATGTGAATGTTTTCCTGTCATCCCATCAAACATGTTTGGGCCAGCCCAGTGCAAAATGTTTTGATAATTTGTTATTTATTAACTCCAACTCAATGAAAGCAATTTTTAAATACACGTATACAGCAATTCAACACATATAGATAGAGGTGTAAGTCATTATACTATTAAACAATTCACACACAATTGGTTGTGATTGGATTTCATTGGGACAAGAAGCATTTTTCAGGCCAAAGGTTAACCCAACTTTTTTAATTCTAACTGCTCCACCTTCATACCATAATAATACTAGTATTCAATGTTTCAGTACCCTAAAATGTTAGTTCTATGTTAACATTATTATGAACTTGATAACATTAGAATGGACAAACTTAGAAAGAATGAATCAGTAATTCACAAAATACACTGAACATGTCGCTGAGTTTGAATTGGATGTTTAGTAGTGCATTTCAATTACTTTAACCAATCCAATCAGTAGTTTAAAAACAAAGGCAATACAGTATAGCCACAAGATGGCGCACTACTCACTGGTTTGTTATCGGCCATTCAGGGCACTGAGCAACAGGACCAGTTGATGCAGAACCATAATCTTCAACGTCTACGTCATAATCGCACAGAGTGATGTTAGTTTCAATGGCATAGTCTTCCAGTGATTGAAATATCACACCTTCAGGACATTTTTTGACACACAACATCTTGCTTTCTGTAGTGGGGTCCACAATAGCAGAAACATCAAAATAAAACAAAAACCTTGAAACAGAAAACAGCAATTTGAAATTAATGGTGAGCAATTTTTGACATTAAAAGTATATGTACCACTAATAGTAGTGTTGTTACTTGTATTGCATAGTAACCACTGTGATCAGAGTATTGTTACTTGTACATTGGTATAGAGTACATACCAATGTGATTGAAATAATTTAAGCTTTTTTTTTATTTTATCTTTTAAATAAGTATTTGAATTTTTAATCTTTATGCATTTTATTTATTAGTAGTACTGGTGTTTTTTTATGAAAATTTGTAAAAATAAATAATTAAATACAAATCTAAAAAAAAAGAAATTTAATAAAAAGAACCGATCTAGGGTCTTATTTAATTAGACACATTTCATGTAAATCACACACGAATTGACCAGGTGAAAGTAACAACTGTAGTTTGATGTGACGTTTTTAGATACTTGTATCGTAAATCTCTGAAAAACGACCACGGATAGGAACAATGTGTACCTTTTGACATTTTCAGACATCAAAAGAATTGTATTTGTTCATTTCACTATGATTTCGACTACATATAATGTTTAAACCACTTCAAGGGATTTTTTAATTTTGTTTCCAATTTTTGGAAGAATTTGATTGATCTCCACTAAAAGCTGGTACGTAGCATGTACGTGTATGAATTATACATCTGATCGCCTGGGTGTCCAATAAAATCAACCATGGGGTTTGTGCCAAACAATATTGCTAGAACGGCAAGATGGTATTGGCATTGACTTACGGTCTGTCTCTCATGTCCATACCAGATAAGGTGACGTTATCGATTGGTTTGTTTTTACTTCCACATACATTGCCATAACTGTCCGCGCCGAAGATCAGACGTTCTGGTTGACCGTCTCTGATGGCAACATAGGCGATGTAACCCTGTGAGGTGAATACAAAAAAGGTACAGATGAAGTGACTTTTTTTGTTGTCAATATCTTACAAATTATTCTCAAGGCTTCGATCGTTCATTGTTACTAAAGATACAAATAAAAAGTTGGCTGTATTAGTTGATATTTCGATATAAATATAGTACTTATTAATATTAAATCATACTTACCATCCCACCCCAAAAAGCAAGAAATATGATGAGACAGATGACATCACGACAACTCCTCTTGCTCACGGGACCATCAAAATCCTTATCAGACTGCTCCTGTTAAAATGTTTAAAAACACTGTGTCATATATTGTACAACTGTGATCGATTTTAGCCTGATTACTAAAATGGTGAGGGCGTGGTCCAGTGGCGTGAACATCGTATGAAATACAGAATGTATTAATCCTAGTGTGGTACCTAATGGTATAACGAAGGTGTGTGGCATAAATGGCATATGAGGTTGGGGCAGCATTGTATATTTGACATACAAGCGAACAACGTTGTGATAATAAGTGGCCGTTTAAAATCACGCCCTCTATGACCAACCGTTCACCAAAGCGGCTACTTACGTTGTTCTCTGCAAGTTGTTTTCGTAAAATCGTGTCTATTCGCGCTTCGTGTTCGGGGTCCCGTTTCCTGCAATCCATAATTGTATTTACACCGTAATTTGGTGGATGTGTTCGTAGTTTTATGAACCATTGTATTATATTTGATGAATAATTACCGACGTGTAGTCTGACGCGATAAAAACAAAGGAAATCTACTCGCACAAGATGACGAACAACGTAGGCGCAGTGACGGAATAATGGTTTGCGCGTCTTGTTTCAGAACAATGTCCGAACGCGGAAACGCATGACGTAACGAATTACTGTGTTCAGGGATATTCATTGCGCTTTATTTGCATAAACTATATATATATATACCTTACCGGACACAGTTATTGGTCGATTTTTTAGCTTTTAATTAATAAACTTTGAATTGAGCTGATTATAATAAACATCCGGAAATTAACTCATAACATAGAAAGTAAAACTCAGACTTACATAGTAATTAGTAATTACACTGAATAAATGCCAAAGTAAATACTAATTACTATGTAAGTAAGTAAGCACGCGTACATCATGACTCAGTCGACACTTATGTATGTACTACCCTGGGTGAACAAACCAAATCACCTAGCTAAATGTTACGGCGACTACCGAACACACTGTAAAACCCGTCCACAGCGAGTGACACACGCCGTGGAGACATTGAGACATTATAGTAATAATATTCAAATCCCGTGATAAATTGATAAGAATAAAGAGATTAATGTATTTCGCTGGCACATTGTAATCAATAATCGAAAGTAAAAATAGCTGGAATTAAAGCTCGAATTGATATTACATAACATGAAACTGGAAATAACAGATATTTTGACGATATGGTGCACTGTGAATATCTTTTGTTTAGAAAACAATGGCTATTCTAATTAATAATCGCAACACGTTGTACACACAGCATTGTATTACATCGATATTGATGGGAAATAAAACACGTCTTGCAGAACACGGCATTACAAGCAAAGCCTAATATAAGATAACAAACAAACTCAAATTATGTAGATGGTGGAGTGTGGACATTGTGGTAATCTCGCAACATTATAGAATAGTATAGAAATTTCAATTTTTTATTTTAATTATTCCATAAACGTGTTGCTGTTTTGCTATACACACATAACCTAATCTAAAAAAAATACGACAAGTTTGTTTATTCAATATACATATTTCACAGGAATACACTAATTGCTAGTGTTTAAAGCCCCGGTTCACACGTCACGCCACATATGTAATGTGCGAGCCATTGAAGTTTGCGTTAAAACAAGTGTACATTTTCATGTAATTAATTGATACACGTGCACCTGTACAAGGGTAATAACACGTGCCATATGTATCTACCAAATCAATCATGTCACGGGATGAATCTGGACAACATTACGATGATAAATAACTAACAACATACTGCTAGTTGAATACTGTTTTTCTCGTACGTGACAATATATCAAATAACATGGCATCGGTCGAAAATATGACAAGCCGAATACACAAATTACAGTCGTCGCAACACGTTCAATGGGTCCATTGACCGACTTATGATTGACTTGTACAACGCGTGTAAAATACTTTCGAAGCGCGGTGGACGGCGACTGAATCGAGATCAAGTTATGTCAACAAGTGAGTAACACTGAAACATACAACAGGGCACAGTCCCTCTATCACTGTGAACAGGGTGAACTCTGTACTGTGTCGTGTAAGCATTAATTGCTGTGCTCCCTACGAGTTTGAATTGTGGCAATAACGTACACCAACCAATAAAAGTACAATATGTCACGAATTACTATCATATTGGTTTACATTTCCTCAAAGGTCTATACTTTGTTATATTACAACTAACTAAGACAGAACTTGTTCTCACGTAAAATACAATACAGACAAGTAGAGAGGATTGCCGTGTTGGTTATCTCCCTGTTATATTTCACGCAGACACTGGAATTGCGCCATTGATTTCTGTCACACTATTATACAACACATTCGGGATTGATATGCATCTTTCTTTTAGGGGTTGTTTTATTCATTTTTTCTATTAATATTCTGTTTTTGTAGATTGTTATTCTTTCCTTATTAGTGTATTAATACTGTATACTTTTACTATTATCTGTAACCATTGCCACTCCCTCCGGGGAGTGAGTGTTAATAAATAGATTAAAATTAATCAGGTTAATCTGAGTAATTGTTGTTATAATCCTCAATATATTCACCATGATGCAACTCAACTCGAATTCTCCATGGGGTTGTAAAGTTACAATATAGTAAAAATAAAGTATGATTCCAGTAATTATGTAATGCAGCACGAAAATACAAACTCATGACAGTAAAGTAACTGCGGTAACTGCAAGCAGATATGGGGCTCTAAAACGATGTAAATGAAAAACACAATTGTCTCATTTCGCGGTATCCCCGGCATATGGTACACTCGTCCGTGCAATTGACAGTATATAATCCATATTACGTCATGGTCTCACTGGACTTATTCTGTAGCCATGGAACGCATTTTCGATGTCAAGTATCATGAGTATATATCGAACAATAACCGCCACTTTCTATTTGAACAACCATGTTTAAACTCAGTTTAATTATGTACAAAAATAGAGCTTTTTATACCCAAACATGAGTGGAGTTTGGGCTTGAAACTGTGACTGTCATGTTTTTATAGTGGATATTCTGGAAATTATTATTTGTCTTACTCCACCCCATGTTTACTCTCACGTGACCTTCTCAGTACTGATTAACGGTTGATCACAAACCGGGTACTGATATACATTACGATATCTATATCGGGAGACTAATAATAATCCGATATATGGACAATTCGATATTAAAATGGTGGACAGATTAAAGGTATATTTGTATGGATTCCAATGCAAAACGATAGTCACAACATTCAAGAAAACAAAATCACAATATATTAATGTACGATATACGCTTCATTATATATACTCGTGGTATTGTCCAGTACCAAGCACTGCGGAAGAACGGTAAACTAGAACTTGACATATCCAATATATTAGCTTATTCAATATATAATATGGTGGTCATTTTCATGCTGATAATATTAATAAATGATCAGATATTCTTGTTTTTTATCATCAAACGTTATGTAATGAGAAATTAATGTAAACGTTGATGTTAGTTAAATGTCCAAATTTCCGATGTGTCAATGGCTGGGTGCGACGTGACCCGCTGTACAGTTTCGTGACTCCCCACGCCGTACTAAATTACTTGTACAGTATAACGATATATAAAATCTTGCTTACCTGGTGAAATGGTTCTACCCTATTAGACCTACCGCCACAGCAACCCATTGCATCTATAGTTATATTAACACCATATAACAAACACTGCAATAAAATTAATAAATAAATAAATAACAATAATGATTATAATTATAATCACCAACCTTTTTTGATGACTTCCCGTCATACGTTTTGTCATATTCCTTAAGGATGGGTTGTTTTTCGTCGTCGGACATTTCAACAGGAGTATGTTAATATATTCCTGGTTGTAATAGCTGTGTTTTACAACGACCAGGAGTCCATGCACTCATAGGGTGTGCCTGACGGTTAGATGGGCCAGTTCGGACAGTGATGCTATAGACAACAGTCCCATACGGATGAGAATTGTATACCAGCTGCTATATACACCTTACTAAAGCATCTGTAATGCCAACCGTTTAGTGGGTGTACCATTTGGTTTGTTTTTATCTATTTTAAGCTCAATTTTAAGCCATTAAGTAGAAATACGCCCTCTGTGGTAGTATATTGCTTTCATGCCG